TTTGAAGAATTATGGAGGCATCCTCCTATTTTTGTTATTACTCACCGGATAACAAGGAAGAAAATAACTCTACATCATTTTTTTAGTATATATAATTGGTCACGATATTCTGTTTTTATTGTATCTTTTTTTTCAATTTAGCAATGAAGATGTCTCCAAGTTAATTCTACGGTCATTTTTGGTAAAGTTTCTCAATTTTAATTAAACATTAAATACCTAAGGAAATAGAGATTCATTTTTTGTTTCACTAAAATGCAATAACTTGTATTGTTATAACTTTGATTTCAAAAGAGTGACCTACTTTACAAGTTCAAGCCCCTTCTAGTTAGAATATCATTATCTAAAGCTTTCTCTAAAAATGTCAACTTCTCTCAGTAACATAATATTTTTCTAGACATCAGAAAGCCTCTAGACTGAATCTAACTTGCATCCTTTTTTAGTTAAAATACTAAAGTTTTATCCTCCTGTTTGGGATTAGAATATAATCCTCCTTATGTACAAGGATTAAAGTACCCTTGTACTCTAATTAATAAAAATTTTTATTTACCAAAAAAATTAGAATATCTTTATTGAGCAAATGAAATTCTCCTTAATGATAAATAGTCTTTGCATTCAATATCTATCTATTCTTGAATAGTCTCCATCGTTGACAAATCTAGAAAATACTACAATGGCTGTAATTGCTCTCCCCCATACAGGGGGAGGGGGATTACATGCAGTCTAGGGTTAAGGAGATTTACACCTGATCCTCTCAATCATTGGGCCTATGTCTAACCCATTATTCTTTACCAGACCACATGAAAAATAAACCACTTGGGCTCAACCTCAATTGAATTTTTGCAAGTTCAAAGTCAAGGTCAAGTAAATTTTACATGCTTGAACTCGAACTTGAGTTTAATTCGAGGTTTGATGATAATTAATCAACATTATGAAAGCAGTTACAGTCGACTTAGAAGATTTTGATTGAAGAAATTTTATCTACATTAAGAAAAATAAATAAGTAAAAGGGGGATGTTGCTATAGACAAAAACATAAAAATGATGAAGAATTGAAGATACCAACATGGTACAAATATGGTCACCCAAACAATATGAAAGGTAGGAAATGAAAGAAATTTGTTTTTAGCACTAATATCTTATGAGTCATATATATCTTGTTAAAATGTAAACAAGTAAATCATGTCAATGTTCATTTTTGAGCTAAAGTTGAAATTGTAATTTAGAGTATAGCAAGCATGCTGCTTACAATACATATTCTATGGTTGATTAAGACATGGAGAAAACTATATAAGAATAAAAGTAAGATAATTAAATATATGTGGATTTATCTTCAACTAAATATTTAGAAAGAACATTACGCAACTAGTCATTACTATGAGAAACAGTTTTGCTGCACCCAAATTGTAATTGAAATAAACAAAAAGGCTGTATTTTGCTCATTCTGATAATGAGGCATTTTATTATATTGATATGAAACTAAGAATTAAGTATTGTGCTTGTTTTTTTCTCTCTTTTTTTTCGGCTTTGTTCTTAACTAGATGTTCTATATATATCACTCTTTTTCTTGTTTAGACTTTGAATGACTTTTAGAGTATGTTTGGTTCAGCTTCCAAGTGTTTTAGTTTTTTGACACTATTCATATTTCATAAGTTTAAATTTCTCTCTTAAAAACTTACATTTTAAAATTTTTTTTTAACTTTAAATTTATTTCAACCTTAAAAAGATCTTAAACAGTAAAAACTTAAAAGTTTCAAATCTAAACTTTTCATAAATTTTTTTTTTTACTTATTTTTTACTCATTTTTTTACTCACTTTTTTTTATCTTTAAAAGCAATTTTTAAATTTTTCCTTCAATAAAAATTTAAACTTATCATTCATAAACAGTACAAAAAAATAAAAATAAAAACTCTTACAAGTTAATCCGAACATACTCTTAATGAGTTATCTTTTTGCTAAATTTAATAAATGGAAACAACTCCAGAAAATTTACCAAATTAGTTCAGAAACTTTAAAAATGCACCAAAATAAACAATTTCTTCAAAATTCTAATTAGTTTTTTTAACAGCTAACCATGTTAATGCCTTCGGCCAAAAAAAAAGAAAAAAACCTCAATGCTTATGTTGCCTAAAAATTCAGATTTTAGTAATTAAGTTTTTTAAATTTTTAATTAAGTTCTAAATGTAAGTCATTACACTACTCAATTTGAAATAATAATTACTTCATTATGCTAAAATGTAATCAACCAAAATTAATGGATTAAGTTCAAAATAAACTTAATTACTTGGGGTTATAAGTTAAAAAGTCGTATTTTTCAATCCAAACTGCACAAAATGCAGTCTATGAAGGTACCGAGACACCTTTAATGGAGGAAAATAATTTACATTTTTTGTCTCGGCTTCGGGAGACTATTGGTTAAGTTGGTACTAATATTTTTTTTTATTTTAACATTATTATTATCTCATATATGTTTTAATTATTTATTTTATCATAAAAGGTATATCCGTATTTCTTTTAATAAAAATAAAAAATTTTAAAAATAAAATAGAACAACATATATTTCTAAAGAATAATTAATGATAAATAGGATCACAATCTAAAATCAATAATGTGATATAAATCATGTTATTTAAAATATTAAAAAAAATCTTATATTATTTGATAACTAATTTTTTATTTTTTTAAGACTGACAAAATTATATACATTAAATGACATATAATATATCATTAATTCTAAATTTTAACTCCAAATTTTCATACTGCCATCATTACTCTATTATGAAATAGAAGAAGTAATCAACCCTCCCTCGTAATTGCTCGGGTTTTATTGGGCTAAGGCTTAACCCATCATTAATCCTTTACAAGACCACGAAAATTCAATAATTGGGCTCAACCTCAACCTCCCCTCGTCAATCACACAGCAGTACTGGCTCTCCACCTTGCCCAAATATTAGTGCCAGTTTAATTGGGACCCTGAATGAATGAAGCATGATTGAATATTTACAAGCTAAAACTCAAGTCGTGCAAATTAATTTTAATGATTGAATTTGAGTTACATTCGAGTTTTTTCTGATAAAAACTTAATCAACCTATTAAAAATAGTTACAATACAGTTAGAAGTATTTATCATGTGTTTGTTTTGGCTGCAAATCTGCAATTGTTTTATTATTATTATTATTATTATTATTATTACCTCCAAGTTAAAAAAAATTATAAAATAATAATCATATACTCTCTCCATTCCTTTTTAATAGAATTTCTTTGATTTTTTGACTTTTTCTACTAAAGTTTAAATGAAAATTTGACATATCATATAAATGATAATTGAAAATTTTTTGGATCAAATAAAAATACTTGAAAAAAATTATATATAAAAAAAATTTAATTGTTATTCATATAAATTGTAAAATTTTCATCTGAAATTTATATTCAAAAAATCAAATTAAATCTATTAACAATGAATGGACGGAGTATTTTTTTTTTTTTAATTATTTCTTTTTGATGGACAAAGAGCAACCATGTTATTGTAAGCAAACACAAAAATAGATGAAGATACCAAAATGGTACAAATATTGTGAAGTAAATTTCTGCGTAACAGTAGTAGTTTATGAATCATGCATATCTTGTTAATATGTAAACAAGTAAATTATGATGTTGATTTTTTAAGCTGAAGCTGAAATTATTATTTGCCTGATAACCATGTAATTTAGAAACTAGCAAGCATGGTGCCGCATAATATTCAACATTTTGATTAAGATATTGGAGAAAACTATACAAGTATAAAAGTAACATATTTAAGTATATATGGCATTATCAACGATATACTTGGAGCGGATATTTTATACAAGGCAATTATCATGTTTAAAAGTTCTCTTGTCGTGCTCGGTAAAGCCATTAAAAAAGTAGAAAAAAAAAACATTTTTACCCTTAGGATCCGTTTTGTATGATGAAAAATTTTCATAAAAAGTATTTTTTGATTTTTTAGTTTTCAACACAATTTGAAAAAAATGTATACATAAATATTTTTCATTTTTGGTTTGTTAAAGAAAATTTCAAATTTTACTCAACAATAATAAAATAAATACATTAATATTTTAAAACTTAAAAAATTAATACGAAATAAAAATATTTAATACTGAAATTACATATAATACTGAAATTACATATTTCATCTCCTAAATGGTTATTCCACACATTGCATGAGCTATTTATTTCATCTTTTTTTTTCATTGATTATCTAATTTCTTCTATCTTTATTTTGTTAGCTATCTAGTTTTTACTATGCACTATTTGCTGCCTAGTGAATTTCAACTAAATATTCATTATCTAATTTCTTCTCTCTTTATTTTTTCATCTATCTGCTTTTCACTATGTACCATTTGCTACCTATTAAATTTCAACTGAATTTTAACTTCTTTATAAATTAAAAAAAAAAAAAAAAACTGAATTTTAACTTCTATATCAAATGGCACCTCAATCTTTCTATGATTCCCTATCTACTTAGTCCCAAAAATGCCAAGGCATAAGAGATTTTTGAGGTAACAGTATCCAACAAAATTTAATGCATTTTAAGCAAATCATTTGATGCCTGACTGATATACAAACCAGTTTTAAGGTAAGCAATAACAGTTGAAGGAAATAAGCCTTGAACTTGAAGCAGAAAAATCTGCCTCAACCCCACAGACATCATGATCAGAGTATGTCTAAAAGCTTCAACATTTCGCAACTTACCAAGTTCCTTGGAAGAAAAACGGTACTTGTTTCTGTAAACCGGATAAACAGACACCAGCCTGAAAGGCTGAAACAATCATAATCCTCATACAATTTCATAATTTTTTATTAATCACTGTAATCTACTTTCTCCTTTTTAATTAGACTCAACCCAGCAGAACAAATCACTGTCAGGACATTCCTGGCAATATTTAAGTCTTGTCCCCAGTTGAATAATGTGCCAATGAAATAAATGAACAAAAGAGAGGAGGACTAAATAAATGAATCACATGAAACAAAAACCACCCTGTATTATCAAAGAGAAGTTGCAGACTCTGTCCAACAATTTTTGCCAGAATCAAACAAAGGAGAGAAATGCAAATCTTTGCCTTACAGTCTTTTCCCAGACAAAGCTCCTCTGCCTTTCCCCCCTTCTAGCTACCCTTAAAATCTACACCATTGGAAACAAAAACTAGTTCTCTTAGTCAAACTTGTGCATGAAAATATAAACTGAGTAACTAGAAGCTAATGGAAAAGAAAACTATATGAAGGGTATGCAACTTGACTATGTTAAAGTAGATCACGTTTTCTCCAAACAAAACGTTGATCAAACCAAATTTTCTGGATTTCCTCAGACTCGTTATCATTGGGTAGCCACTCATAAAATTCAGCAAACATTCCTCCTGGAGCAACTTTGAAACTCTTTCCATCAAAGGTTTGAAAACATGTATCAACCAGTTCAATTGCATCTTCAACAGCTAAACCTGGACTGATAAATATATTCTCATCACTGCCCGCACTATTTTCACCAGCCCAGCACTTCTCTGAGAAATCATACCTCCACAATAATCGAACGAGATCATTATCATATTCACGCAGGAGCAGATTTGCATCAGAAATTAAGAACTTTGGTGGCTTACAACGAAAGGAAAATTTAAGCTTAGTGCCACATTGTTCCAACAATTTCCACTGTTGAAGTGCAGTGTCAAAGGCACCCACTTCCCCATCTGAGAAAAGACAATAGAAAGACCCAGCAACATATGTTGCATCCAGCGGACACAGATCATATGAACGATACCTATCATCTTCAAGCTTAAACGTCTTCCATGTCATATCACCAAGGTGACATATGCTGAAACCGGTAGAGTAGCATGTTCGCCAAAAGATGAAAACCATACACTCCGGGGAAGTCGAATTCAAGGAGAAAGTTGCAACATTGGTAAGGTAAAAATCTTCCTCTAGCTTTGGAAGCTTAATGAGATCTCCAGTAACAGGAGAGAACAAGAATGTTGAGACAAAATAGCTTCTGGGATCACTGGAATCACTAGCTCTGCTGCGCAAAAGCACCCAACCAAATCTCGAACACCTAATACTAGCATTAGCGAAAATCCGTTTCTCTTTTTCCTCTATCCGTCCATCACATACATACCCCTTCTTCGCAAGGGGATCTAACAGCTCAAACAGAGTTCCCCCGCCTCGGAATTTCAACATCCATGGAAAATCTGGGGTTTCCAGAACAAGGCAACGGAGGACCGCCCAGCTCTTGCAGACGGCAAAGAGGCGGATTCGATCAACCCAACAAAGTCTCTCGATGATTTTTCCCATGATGTCAGTCGGGAGATTCGCCCAATCCCCCTTCCTCCTATTGAATTCAGCCATTAGGGTTTCTGCAACCTCTAGGACAGAGACGAAAGCAATTATTTCAAGATAATCGAACCACAATTACAGATAATCAGAACCGTATTCAATCGAATTCTACATTTCAAGTCAATCTCATGCAGCGAATTGCAGATATTTAACTTGAGAAATGAGATAAAACGGCAAGAGTTTCAGAAAGCTACCTGGTTCGGCGAGGATTTTCCGATGGACTTCTCGGCGGCTTCTCACTTTCTTCGCGGTTTTGAAGAAGAAGACGAACCAGAACCAGACACCCGACCCACCCGACCCGAACAGACAAGAATGAAATGACAGATCTGCTTCATGCTTTCATCCTAAATAAAATGGAAAAGGAAAAATACGCGACGAAATGAAATGATAGGGCTGCTTATATTAGTATTACCATTAAAAAATTCATAATTAAATATATCAAAAAGAAATTATCATTAAAGAAAGATTAAGATGTTTTAATCATTAAAATATTAATTTATTATAATGACAAATGTTTAGATATTTTTAATAGATATATATGGAAGTTTTATTAAAATTATTTGATTAATTTTACAAATATAATACTGATATATTTTAAGTATTAAGAACGTTTTGATTTTTACTTTTAAGAAAAGAAAAATTTATAGAATTGTCATGGGCTGGGCCTAAATCCAACTCATTATTATTTACCAGCCCTTGAAAATCTAACTCAGTAGGCCCACGTTTAACACAACCCACAGGCTGGGCCTAATCGAAGTGCGTCCCTCAACGGCTCAACTCTCCATTGGACCGAGATGGACTCATTTTGACTCAACCAATATGGGCAAAAATAAAAATAATAACAAAAATGCATTTTTCAATCTAAACTACATATTAAAAATATAATTTTAGCAATAAAATTACTGAAATACCCTTATGAAACTCTTCCTTACATTTATTCATAGATGTTTCTAAACTGTGCCAAGATCCAATTATTACACCTTTTAGCCATGAAGTCTTATTTTAAAAAAAAAAAAAAGTTGATATTAATGGTAACACCAAGACCACACGTATTATTTTAATTAATCAATTAATGAAATTAAATTCAACTTTTTTTTTTAATGTAATTTAATGATTAAAAGATACAATAATTATACTTTTAACCTGTACTCTAACCCTTTATTCACTCATGATAACTTAAAAATAACAAAGGCAATGTCGCTTGTAATTCATAAGTCTTGATAAATTATATATATATATATATATATATTGAATGATATTATATTGAGATTCCTATTTTCAGTCTGGACTGTATGTTCGGACATGAAAACTATAATGTTGCTAAACTTTTACACAACTAAAACAAAAAACTAGAAACAAAAAAAGTACTAAATGGAGCTTTAAGAATATCACACAAAATTGACAAAGATTAACAAATGATATCAGCATGGTCACTAAAGGAATATTAAAGGCAATGGAATAAAACTTAGCCTTTGCACTAATTCTTTGAATCACACAAATTAAGTCAAAAACTGAACATGCAAATCATGTCTTTCTTCCATTCTTAAGCTGAAAATATTATGACCAGATGCATGTACTTTAAAAATTGACATGCTCCAAGCAATTTTTACAATTTAATTAACAATTTATGATATTGGAGAAAACTATGAAAAATAAATGCAACATGTCAAACTTAGAAAAACTTATCAATAATTAAATATTTGATTAATATAGTAAGAGTAGTCCAAACAAACAAATGTGGGTAATATAGTTGGCGTGATCATATATATATATATATATAGGAAGAATAAAGAAAGCAAAACTTAATTTTGTTTATAGATCTTCCCTCCCAAACCACATTCTTCTTTTCTTTTCTTTTCTTTTTTTTTTATCTAAAAATAAAAGAGATGGGTAATTAAAATTTGAATGCTTGAATTATAGGGGAAAAAAAAACTATTTTGTGATTCAAAAATAGTTGACAATCTTATCACTGGCATTTTCATCCAAATCTACTCTCTATGATTGCATAGCCTTCATGGTTGACACATCCACTAAATACCAAACTTGAATAAGCTGTCAAATTGGAAAAACATCTAACATTTCCACATTTCCGACCATTATTTCATATCCCATAGAATTTGTGCATTTTCAGCAAAACATTAGAAGCATGACCTTAATACACAAACCAGTTTAGAGTGATAACTTAATAACTATAAAAACATTCAGAAACAACCCATAGAAGCATAAAAATCTGACTCAAGCCAAAAATCAATAACAGAACAAAAACATGAAAAATAAATTCCATCCAATAGAAGAAATAAGTGTCAAGACATTCCTAGCAATATATAAGTTTGTCTTCACCTGAAATCCAGATACAATTATTGAACAAAAGAGAGCAAAATTAAATAAATGAAAGAAAGTAAAAGAATCATCATCTATCATCCTAATAAAAAAAAGCAGATTCTGTTTAACAATTTCAGTCAAGAATCATATACTATCTACCAGACTAAAGAAAGAAATGGAAATCTTCGTCTTACAGTCTTTTCTCTGGCAATGCCATGCTCCTCTGCTTTACCTTCTAGCTCCTGTCACCATCTCCACCATTGGAGAAGAAACCCTAATTTTCTTAGCAAATTTTAATGCCTCCTCTCCCCTGTACACCAAACCAACCAAAACAGCAACACAGCATAGCGCAGACACCCAATCTTTAGGTCCCCTTTTCTTCTCCTTAATTAAAAAATTGCCAAAAAATCCAAAACCCAGAATGCCAAAAACCACTTCAATTTTCAGTTCTTTACTCAACAACAAACACAAGATTAAAAACCCTAGAGAAACCCAGAACCCTAAATTTTTGTTCCTTTTCCTCCTCCTTCTCGACCCATCAAATACCTCTCTTCCGATACTCCTCCAGAATCCTTGTCCTCCTCCGTCCCCACCACTCAATTCTCCCATAACAAGATCCAATGGCGGCGGCAAGATCTTGAGATTTAAACCCGCAATTGAAATCAAATCCAGTATCAATTTCCTCCATCTTTGAGACCCAAAACGCCTTCTGTTCTTTCTCGCGCATATAATCGATTTCTGGATCTGGGTTTTGTAGGGAATCATAGGAAAAGTACTCAGAAACTGAGATTTCCGTCCGAATACGAGGCTTCGGAATAGAATGCTCGGTTCAACAACTGGGTGAAGAGAGCATTTTGGAAGAAGAAATTGGGATTTGAAGATCAGGTTTTGTTGCATTGTGAGATTTCGATTTTGGCTCTTTTGAAAACAAAGGTTTTTCCTTTTTTTTTTTCTTTTGAAAAATGCAGACTCTATCGATTTGGATGAAACCAAAAGAACGCCAAAATTAAATCTGACAATTGAGGAAAACAAAAAGGAACACACACAGGGTGGTGTTATTGCCACAGCCACTAATGTTAATGCCACAGCTTTTTCAGTTATTTGACCATTAACCCACGCGGAGAAGATAGTGACTACTGCAAGTTGGATTCAAATGAGGGGTATAATAGTCAAATAACTAAAAAAAGCTGTGGCATTAACATTAGTGGCTGTGGCAATAACCCCACCCACACACACAATCTGACCGTTAAAATGGAAAACCCAAGTTCGTAATTTTGCTGTCCAGAACCAATATATAAATTCTCCTAATAAAGACGCCCAATTTAGGGAATGTTTGGTACCGCCGGTAAAAAATTTCTTTTCTTCTATTTCAAAAGTTTAAGTT